ATCCTGGCTCTGAACACAATCTCCCATAAGGAATTGTGTCAACCCTCGCATGGCCTCCCTGCTTTGCATAGATAACCATGGGGATCGTTACGAGCGACTATACAATCGAATATCGATAGCGGCTAGGAGTTTGGACCCTATCGATATGAATAAAGGAAACAAAAACACACCACAGATGTTACCAAAAGTGCCACTGCAGGATGGCCAAAGGAAGTCCGCAATGGACGAGGGCACGCCAAAGGTGCCACCACAAAAGAATGTACTCATTTCACCGGGAAATGATATTAACACACCACAGATGTTACCGAAAGTGCCACTGCAGGATGGCCAAAGGAAGTCCGCAATGGACGAGGGCACGCCAAAGGTGCCACCACAAACGAATGTACTCATTTCACCGGGAAATGATATTACCCAGAGAATGAAGAGTGAAGAGGCGATGACATTCGAAAAATGCATAGTCGCCTTAAACAAAATAAAGCAAGCCGTAAATCGGCAAAGAAATGTCTCGACGGACATTAAAGAGGGGGTACACGAACTGGCGACGCAGTTCGATACGATGGCTTACTACCACCGTCGTTGGCTTAAGGCAGAAGCAAAAAAAAAGGCACGAAGGGATACCAATGCGGTAGACACACAAACCGTGCAGCGACAAAAACGTACAGCTACAAGTCCAGTGGCGGAAACACCAGAGAAAAAGCTGAAAATGAAAGAATCTGAAGCCCCCACCGAAGGCGCTGAAGGAAAAAACGAAGAAAAATGGGTAAAGGTAACAGCCAAAAAACAAAAAACGTCAAAAAAGCCTGAAGCACCTCCAAAGAAAGCGGCAAAACGAAAAGAGAAGCCCAGGATCCGTGAGAAACCCGAAGCTGTCCTCATCAAACCAAACGAAGGACACACATACGCGGATATCCTTAAGGATCTCCGAAGGAAGATAAAGCCAGATGATGAAGAGGTGGCCATCCGGTCCATACGTAAAACTAAGAGTGGGGCTGTACTTTTAGAACTAGGAAAAGGTGGTAAAAAAAACGACTTTTATGCCGAATTAAAAGGAACACTGGGAGAGGTAGCAAAAGTAACTGAATTGAAACCCCGTGCAAAAATAGAAATCCGCGACTTGGATAGCCTTACAACGGATGATGAGGTAAGAGCGGCAGTAAGAATTGCACTCCAAGAACAAACGGAGCAAATGGATGTAAAAATTTCCGGTGCAAATACCAGAGAATAACGGAGAGCCTATGTATGCATATCAAGCCAAGCAGCTAAAACACTACAAAAGACGGAACGTATTCGTGTGGGCTTAGTAAGATGCAGAATAAAACTCTTACAAGATGTAAAACGCTGTTACAGATGCTTTGAAACAGGACATCTTCAATACAATTGCAAAGGACCTGACAGAAAAGGTCAAGGCCTATGCATTCGATGTGGAGAAAGCGGACACAAGCTGAAAGAGTGCACAAGGCCGCCAAAATGCTGCATTTGCGCAAGTAAAGGATGCATCAAGGTGGACCACATACCGGGTTCCCATAAATGTGAAGCTAGCAAAAGGATATGAGAATACTCCAAGCAAATATGCATAGGAGCAAGACGGCTGACGCTCTGCTCTCCCAATTAGTTCTAGAACGAAAAATCGACGTCGTCATCATAAGCGAGCAATACAAGAAAAGTAGTAGCACAGGATGGTATGAGGACCACACTGGAACCGCAGCTATCTGGACGCCATCAAAAGGAACACTTAACGCTGTGAATAATGGAAGCGGGGAAGGTTTTGTATGGGTGAGGACAAATGACTACACTGTTATTAGCTGCTATCTAACACCCAATGACACTATTGGTGAATTTGAAAACAAACTCCATAATATAGAAGATAAGGCTAGAGAAATCGGAGGCTCCCTAATTATTGCAGGGGACTTCAACTCTAAAGCAATCGAATGGGGTTCCACGACGACAAACTCACGCGGTCGACGAGTACTTGACGTGGTGTCTAGATTGGGGCTTATAGTAGCAAACTTAAGTTTCGCTACAACATTCAGAAGACCCGGATGTGAAGCCACAACTCCAGATATAACACTTGTGTCGGATATGTTTTCAGGGGCACTCAGAGACTGGAAAGTGCTGGAGGATTATACCGGCAGCGATCACCAATATATTGAATTCAAGATTACACTGCGGGATAGCGCTGCAACAGACTACCAACCTAGCGGTACGCGGAAATGGAAGGTGGACTGTTTAGATGTACCATCTCTACTTGCTGCTATAGACAGCAGGGTTGCAGATAGAGATCCCTTACTAAACTCGACCACACTAACAGTATACACCATGAATAGCATTCTACAAGCTTGTAATGTTTCCATGCCAAAAGTGGGAAGATCAACCCGAAAGAAAGCCGCATACTGGTGGACCGAGCAAATCGCGGAAATGAGGACCATCTGTTTGAGGTGCAGGCGAAAGCTGACCAGAGCCCGGAGAAGAAGTACTGCTGAAATAGAGGAGGTGGAGTTTAAAATAGCTAAGAAAAATTTGAAAGAAGCCATAAAACGAAGCAAAAAGGCAAAGTGGGAAGAACTAAGAGAAAATATAAACAACAATCCATGGGGCACCGGATACAAGATTGTAACTAAAAAGCTGGGTGCCAGACAACCCACCCCATCACTAGGAAGCGAAAAAATGAAGGAAATAGTTGACACATTATTCCCGACACATGAGGTGCTCCCAAGCAGATCAGATGATCTCCTGAGAGAAATGCCGCCACTATTTACTCTACAAGAGCTTTTTGCAGCTGCTAGCGCGCTAAAAAATAATAAAGCTCCGGGGCTAGATGGAATACCGGCTGAGATACTAAAAGTGATTGCAAATGAACGACCACATGTACTACTAGAAATGTACAATGCTTGTTTAATGGAAGGCAACTTTCCGGAAATTTGGAAGAAGCAGAAACTAACTTTAATTAGTAAGGGTAAAGGCGACCCAGAACGTGCTGAAGCATACCGACCACTCTGCATGCTCGACACCGCTGGAAAACTCCTTGAAAGACTGATCAAGCCTCGACTTACAACAGCAATCGAATCAGCAGGTGGCTTGTCACCGAGACAGCACGGTTTCAGGACAGGACGCTGCACGCTAGGTGCAATAGAAGATATAGTTACGGCAGTAAAGGCTGCACAGACTGGTAACCACTATTCGAGAAACATTGTCTTGCTTGCAACACTTGACGTACGAAACGCGTTCAATAGTGTAAGATGGGCTGATATTCTCAATACACTGGAAAACAAGTTTAGAGTACCACGCTACCTGATGGATATAATAGCTAGTTATTTGAAAAATCGCGTGCTAGTCTACGACACCCACGACGGACCAAAAGAAAAACAAATCACATCAGGAGCAGCGCAAGGATCAGTTCTCGGACCTGAGCTGTGGAATGATAATTACAATGGTATCTTAGAGCTGGAAATGCCGGATGATACACAACTGGTGGCATTTGCAGATGATGTTGCAGCAGTGATAAAGGCAAGAAATATAGAAGAAGCGCAACGAAAGCTAACCATGGTAATGATACGAACACAGGAATGGTTAGAGGATCACGGACTCAAACTCGCCGCGGAGAAAACAGAGTTGATCTTTCTCACAAGAAAGCATATACAGCTAGAAGTCGAAATGCGAGTATGCGACAAAACTTTAATGTCACAAAAAACAGTCAAATATTTAGGCCTTCGACTGGACTCCAGACTAACATTCTGGGCTCAGATTGAAGAAGCGGCATCTAAAGCGGGCAAAGCTACAGCAGCATTGAGCAGACTTATGGCAAACATAAGGGGACCCACACAGAGTAAAAGACAGCTCCTCATGGCTACGGTAAATTCCATTCTTCTATACGGAAGCGAAATATGGGCAGACGCACTACAAGCAGAATACCGAAGAAGAGCGTTAGCGTCAGTGCAGCGAACAGCAGCTCTAAGGATATGTTCAGCGTATCACACCGTTTCAGAAGCAGCGGTTCTCGTGATTACTGGAAATATTCCTATTGACCTACAGGCTCAAGAGCGAAAAACATGTTGGCAGGCAAAACGAATGGGAAACAACAACACCGACAAGCAGTTGGTAAGACGCAGAACCATTGCAGTATGGCAGCAACGCTGGGACTCAGATAGCCGTGGACGATGGACTGCAAGGCTTATCCCAGATCTAAAAACCTGGCTAGCAAGAGACTTTGGCGAGGTTAACTACTACCTCACTCAGTTTCTGTCGGGACATGGATACTTTAACAGCTATCTCTATCGCATGCGCAAAGTAGAGTCACCAAATTGCATATATTGCGGAACGGAGGATGATACCGCAGAACACACATTCTTTGAGTGCAATAAGTGGTTGCCCGAACGAGAAGCACTTGCAATGCAAGTTGGTACCTTCACTCCCAGGACGGTAACGGGAAAAATGATCGAAAACATAACAAACTGGGATCGCGTAAAAATGTTTACTGAAAAGATCCTGAGATTGAAAAAAGTAGACCTTGACAGAAGACAACTGGAGTAAAACAGATGAATCACACAAAGACGAAGGATAAGGTTAATCACCTGCAGCAGATGCGGGGCCTGGACGCAGGTCACACCGATGGAAGTCTTAGATGACTAATAGAGACCCTACCTTGAAGTAATACTAACGTAGTCCCGGGGTAGGACAAGGTCTCTAGGAATGAGGGGGAGTTGGTTTAGTCCGTGCAATGTGGAAATGCTTACTCGAAGCGTATAGTACTTCTGGCGGCTCTAGACATTAGGAATGCGTTCAACAGCCTACAATGGACCGATGTGATCAACGCCCTTGAAGGACGCTTTAATACACCGATGTACTTGATGCGAATGATCCGCAGCTACCTTAGCGATAGAGAGCTTCTCTATCACACAAGCAGTGGTACAAAAACTAAGAAGATCACCTCCGGAGCAGCGCAGGGCTCCGTTCTTGGCCCTGATCTATGGAATGCGAGCTACGATAAAATATTCTCCATTGAAATGCCGGACAACGTACACCTAGTAGGCTTTGCCGATGATGTAGCCGCAGTCATCACAGCACGAAATGTAACCGAAGCACAGCTCAGACTAAATCAGGTCATGCTACGCACGATGGAATGGATGGATGACCGCGGTCTAAAGCTAGCAACTGAGAAGACAGAACTCATTATATTAACGAAGCAGCAAATACCCTTGGAAATTGAAATGCGGGTATGGAACTCCACCATTAAAACGTCCAAGGAAATGAAATATCTGGGCATCCAGCTGGACTCCAGGATGTCGTTTTGGGCCCAGATAAAACATGCAGGTGAAAAGGCTTCAAAGGCCTCAGCGTCCTTAAGCAAGCTAATGGCAAACGTTGGCGGCCCAACAGAAGACAAGCGAAAACTGCTAATGACAGTTGTGAACGCGATTCTACTCTACGGTTCTGAAGTATGGTCTAATGCATTACACATTAACCAGAAGCGAAATGCGCTCGAAAAAATCCAGAGAACAACGGCACTCAGGGTAGCATCTGCATACCGTACGGTTTCAGGTGCGGCGGTCCTTGTTATAAGCAGCTCAATACCCATCGACCTCATGGCCATGGAACGGAGGCAAGCATGGTTAAGCCGCCAAAGCAACGAAAACAGCAGCGTAGCCACAAATTATCGGGAACACACAATGATAGAGTGGCAAAGTCGGTGGACTAACGAAACTAGTGGTAGGTGGACTGCAAGACTAATCCCGGACTTAGTCGCCTGGACCACAAGGAAGTTCGGCGAGGTAAACTATTACCTGACACAATTCTTCTCCGGGCACGGGTACTTCGGCAAATATCTGTACCGGATGAATATTCGAGAGGAGCAGAGTTGCATCTATGGCGATGCTGATGTCGACGATGTAGAACACACGTTTTTTGAATGCAATCAATGGTTAATCGAGAGAACCAACCTGCAAGCACAGATAGGCGGGATTTGGACCCCGGAAAATGTAGTACCCTTACTACTAGCAAGTGAAAACAACTGGAACGTGGTGGCGAGGCACGTGGAGGCAGTACTTCGCGCAAAAAAGAGGCGCCTGGACGCAGGTACAACAGCAACGACGTAAGATTATATCTTACAATCAGGATGTGCATGACCTGAAGCAATACCTAGTGGTGGTTCCGGGTCATGTACTTCATCCTGGAAAGGGGAGTTTTTTAGCATGTCAGCGATTAGCGCGAACCGTGCACTACCCACAGAAAGACGTTTTTTGCGGGTGTGTGTAGACATTTTTTGTTCCCCAGCCTCGAAATAAAAAAAAAAAAAAATTATTATTATTATTATTATTATTAATTATTTATTATTTTATTATTATTATTATTCTTTTATTATTAATATTATTCTTTCATTTTTAATATTATTCTATTATTATTATTATTATTATTATTAATTATCTATTACTGTTATTATTTTGTCATTATTATTATTAGTCTATTATTATTATTATTATAATTATTACTATTTTTTATTATTCTATTGCTATTATAATCTTATTATATGTATTATAATTATAATTATTATATTTATTAGTTATTATTAATTAGTTATTATAATTATATAATATAATTATTATAATCTATTATTATTATTCTATCGTTATTATTATTCTATTATTATTATTATTCAATTACTATTATTATTCTATTATTTTTATTATTCTATTATTACTATTTTATAGTTATTATTATTATTCTATTATTATTATTATTCTATTGTTATTATTATTATTTTATTGTTTTTATTATTCTTTCACTATTATTATTATTCAATTATTATGATAATTCTTTTATTATTATTCTATTATTATTATTACTATTATTTTTAATATAATATACTATTATTATTAATCTATTATTGTTATTATCTTATCATTATTATTATTATTCAATTATTATTATTCCATTATTATTATCACAATTTTTTTATTATTCTATTGTTATTATAATCTTATTAAATATATTATAGTTATAATTTTTTTATTTATTAGTTATTATTAATTAGTTATTATAATTATATAATATAATTATTGTAATATATTATTAATATTATTTTTCTATTGTTATTATTATTCTGTTATTATTATTATTGTATTGTTATTATTATTTTATTTTTATTATTATTTCATTATTATTATAATTACTATTTTATTATTCTTCTACTATTATTACTAATATTCTCTTTTTATTATTATTATTCTATTATTATTATTATTATTCTATTATTATTATTATTATTCTTAATGTTCTTTTATTATTATTATTATTCCCTTATTATTTTTAATATATTGTTGTTATTATTTTATTATTATTATTATTTTTATTTTATTATTATT